GAATTTAATCTGTTTTATGACAACAATCATACTTGTATAGCCCTCCCATCCCCACCCAGTCATTCACAACTACTATCTGAAGTGAAGTTTAGGAAGAACACATGGAAATAAGGTCCTAATTTTCATGATGAGATTTACAGAAAGCTCATGGCCAGTCTGACCCAGACAATATTCATCCCATTTGTTTTGCACCTTGCACTGAGTATAGCTGTCAGTCAGGGGTTTGAAATTTGTTACTACAGCTCAGTACAGAGCTGTCTTACAGCCACACATGCATTAGCAGATACCACTTACTTTTGTTACATTACCAGGATATAGACAGTCTAACCTAATCAGAAGATCTGAGGAACAGCTAGCAGGAAGAGCTGGCATTCTGAAACGAGTCTGTTAAGCAAAGTATACTTCAAGGTCTCCGGGGGAGCTTAATTAGGGGTCCTGCTTCCCCTCCCAGCCAATCAGAAGGTATGCAGGCCTTCTGATGCATTGCAGCTAGCTAATTATCTGCTCTTACACATCCTGACAATATTGGCACATTCTGCTGTGAGTTGTGTAAGGATTTGCAGTCTCAAGGCCTTTGTGTCTATGAAGGAGTACACCGATTAGAGGTTCCTGAGAAATCTTTAGGCAACTATTATCAAGGGCAATAGATTTTTGAGTTAGCTTTCTAAAAAACAATCAGCTGTGAAACAGCCACTACTCTTTGCTGGGAATACCAAGAGGAGTAGCCTCAAGTACTCCCATTTGGCAGGTTTCTCGCAGTTGCTCCTGCTTTCCACTTAGAAAGGTTATTAGTGATAGATGGACATTAGTGAAGAGGTTACATTTAGAAAATCACCCAAATGTTCATAACTCAAAATACCAGGACTCTGGTGGCCTTCTAAACTGGATTGCAAAATACTTCCATCTTATGAATTTTACTGCTTCTGATGGTGGTGGGGAAATGAGCTACTAGGCTGCTTTCTGGGTTTGCTGATAAATGGCAAACTGTGTTAAGGACGGAGCTGGTTCTCAACTGGACCAGTCATGCTTCTCTGTGTGCTAGTTTAAGACATGAGTAGTCTCAATTTTAGTGGCTAAAATCTGTAGCTTTACATGCCAGCAGTCCAGTAAAATATTTATCAGCCTCATGTTAAGTTTGTCTTAGATACTTGTGAATGCATTTGATTTTTTTTATTTAAAAAAAGAGACAGTATTAATTTTGGTATCCATATTTGGTGGTATCCCTACTTGGCAGTAGCATAACTAGGGACAGCTGAACAGAGCACATGGGACACTGATTTAGAGGGGGTGCTATAACCAGGGATCCTAGTTTCTCTGATTTAAAAAAATCCCCAGTTTTTGGTTATATAAAGTAACCCCAAATCCACATTTTTCCATGATTAAAATAAAACACCACTCTCTCTCTCTCTCTCTCTCTCTCTTTCTCTCTCTCATTTTATATATATATAATATCATGGGAAGCACTGATCAAGTCTAGCAAGCCACCCAGTGAGGGACCCCTGGGATGCCAGGGGAATGCAACGTACCTTGACTTGGGATGGGATGTGGTAGAACTGTTCAATCAAGCTCTCTAACTTAAAATACTTGTCTGATACCACATCCATCCAGGTTTAACTTAGAGAGGGACATTCCATTTTTAAAGTGCTTTATGTGCTATGAACATCTGTTCTGTTACAGCTGTAAAGTGCTTTCTGTGCACTTAACACATAAGTGTAATGTCTGTATCTAGCCTATGATATTTGCAGTCAGTGAGCACTGATTAGGTATAAGATCCAAAAGGCCTTCAGTTTATTATTTGACAAATATCTGTGGAGTACTTTGTGAAGTATTTGCCCAGAACTAGCACTCATAGCAAATAGACATAGTATTTCCTGGTAGGTGGAAGTCTCACTCTGAAGCATTGATAAGACTCATCATCACTATCAGTATAAATGTATATAAAAGCTTTAAGTGTTACTAATAAGCTATGGGTGGAGCATTCAAAAGATCTCAGTGCTGGTCTAATTCCTAGCCAAAACTCCTGCTGGCTGCAATGGCAGTAGAATAGGGCTAGTACTCAGTGCTTTTATAACTCCAAGTTTATACTGGTATTTTTAAAGTAGACTCTGAAGGACTGCATAATATGTTACCTTTAAGCTTTCAACTCCCTGCTCTCTTGTGACAAATATAAATGATCCAGCATTGCACTCTGTACAGCTCGAATCTCTAATGTTTTCCCAGTAACTGGACCACCCTGTAGTGGAAAACAAGCATTTTGAAGAAGCTTTGAGCTCTTGTAGATGGAACGCTATGTAGCTTTAAAAACTCAGAAGAATGATGGTGGTGGTGGTGGTAGTGTTGCTGGAACCATGATGATCAAGGGAATATGCAAGAAGTAAGATTTTTTGGTAATCTTTTCTATTGATGAGCTGTGTAGTTGAGAGAGATCTTAGACAAGCTTTTGGGCAGAAAATGATCTTCAGATTTTAGATCTTGGAATGAAGGAATTACAGCCCATAGCCTAACTGATATAATGAATTATATGAGTCATGAACACAGGAAGTACCAAAGAACTGCCCCCTCCTCCAGTGAAATATATAATGCCCAGTTCAGCAAAAAAGTCTGCTATCATCTGCATCAGCAAGACAGCAGGAGATCTAGGGAATCAACATCTGAGGCTCTTCTGTAGACTTATGAGGCATGGAAGAAGTGGCACTTCTGCAGAATCAGGCCCTAGAGACCTTTCAGCAGGGAGCTTAGTGTAAGATGTGCAAAGAGCAACTTCCAGCTGAGACAAATAGAAAATTTGCCAGGTTCACTCTGACTGAGACAGAAAAAGACTCACTTTGTACAGAGCTGCTGCCTTTTCACTCTGCAGAGCTCCAGATTGAATCTCAGCTAAAGTACAATGCTTCTATCCCCCCTGCTCCCCTCCCCGCCTCCACTGACAACCAGTATCTTACCATTGCAGGGGTTGGTTGCATACTTAAGAGTAAATACAACTACTGTGCTGTAACTGGACAGTCAGCTTTACCATCTGGCCTTATATGTAACACCTGGAGCAAGGAATGTCTTCAGTTTTGTACAATACCCAGCCTAAGAGTATAGTGAATAGTAGTATCTCACAGTCTTTGGAAATATTGATTGACACATACATAGCCATTTTTATTTCCCAGACATTCAAACTGTTTGCATGTAGCAAGAATATCTCTCCTCATCCATAAACATATGTATCATGAGCCAAGAAATGTTTTGTACATTTGCTGTTCACCCGCCACTACTCTCCTCTTTCAAAAATGTCAGTTACCTAGGCAGGGAGCAGAACAATCTGGAAACCAACCAAAAGCCATGACTTGTGAAGCTCTGAAACAAAGTTTGTGAAAACTGTAGGCTGAAATGAGTTCATATAAGCTAAATTACACATGTAGCTTGTTTGTAAATAGCAATTAGTTTATAATGGCTAATTACAAATAGCAATTAAGTTGTAGGGGGGAGTCGGTGAATACTGAATGTTAATTTGATAGATAATTTAAATCCAGTGAATTATTTGACCAGGTTTTTTGGGGGGGTTTGGCCAGAATAACCATTCACTAGATTTGTTGAACATTAATAGTCTATTTACATTGTGGCTTGCTTCCATTTGTTTGGCATATCTGTCTTATTATTGCTTCTTTCCCTCCTAGTCTTGGAACTGATCTGCCATATGATTAATATGTTATATGAATTTTATTGTCTTCCCTTGGATTGCTTCAGTGAAAATGTAATTAACCTTGCAGCCTGATTTGGAAGCTGTTGTGGCTATGAAAGTCCCCTTTCTGCGCAAGTATTGGCTCCATAACCAAACCCAAAACAATGGAAACAAACAGTAATACAATCTTAAAATCAGGTTATGCAAGTAATTACCTGATAAAGCAATAAATAGCAACTGTGTTTTCACTACAAGGGAATATTTCTATCAATGCATTTATCGTCGCTATGCTACTAACAGATCCTAACTCAATCTCAATCTTTTCTCAGTTTTCATTGAAACCAAGAGTTTTGCCCAAGAAAGGTATAAATGTCAAGGACCAGCTTCAAGCGTCCAAACCTGGATGGATTTGGGTCCATAATAAGAACTGGTTAAGAAGTTCTTCTTCAATTTTTATTCAAGTCTTATTCAGAAAGACTGATACAGCAGTTAAAAATATTTATTGGGCTGCAATTAATTATGTCTTTCAAAAATCCAGACATCAGATAAACCACATAAAGATCATCCATCTCTGACTCTACATATGTGGGCGAAATAATATTTTCCTCTTCATTTATTCAAGTACTTTG